CTCGTTTTAGCTTATGTTCTGCTCGTTTTAGCTTATGTTCTGCTCGTTTTAGCTTATGTTCTGCTCGTTTTAGCTTATGTTCTGCTCGTTTTAGCTTATGTTCTGCTCGTTTTAGCTTATGTTCTGCTTGTCTTAACTTGTGTTCTGCTTGTTTTAGTTTATGTTCTGTTCGTTTTAGCTTGTTTTGCTTATTTTAGCTCATGTTCTGCTTCTTTTAGGTCATGTTCTGCTTGTTTTAGCTGATGTTCTGCTTGTTTCAGCTCATGTTCTGCTCGTTTTGGCCTGTGATCTGATCATTCTGGTTGTGCTCTTTTCACTGCAGTTCATTACCTTCCTGTCTGGTTGGCTCACAGGCTCCGCCTCCGTCCTCTCTTTGGATTTGCTGTCAGAGCTCGGGAGTTTACTGGGTGTCGACTGTAGTCTCTGAAAACGTAAGATGAGATTGTTTGTGGACAGATTTTGTGACATGATGACTCTGTTTGAGCACAGCAGTGTGTACCTGCAGTGTGATGCGTCCATTGATTTTGGGGAGTGAGGACGTTCCGTTGGGCCTGTCTGCAGTGTGACTGGTCAGAGCGATCAGATAGTGGTTACCGTTGCTGTCCGTCACCAGTGTGGGGGTGCCGTTGGCCTTCAGGTCCAATGAAATGGCCTGAGTGTGAAGTGGAGTGTTGTTTTGTTGGTTGATGATGACTGGAGTCACCTGAAAACACAGGGATGGTATTTGTTTAGTTTTGTAGTGTTGATGTTGTGACTCAGCAGCATGTTGCAGGTTGTTACAGAGACTGACCTGCTGTGTGGAGGCTGCTGCTGCTGCTGCTGCTGCTGCTGCTGCTGCTGCTGTCTGCTTCTGCTGCTGCCTCTGATGAGCCCTCTGCTGTCTCCTCTGCTGGCTTTGGCTAACTGCAGACTTCTGGTTCTGGATCTGAACCTGCTTCAGCTGGTTCTTCTGCTGGGCCTGGACCTCCTGTTGGCTTTGTTTCAGATGATTCAGCTGCAGCAGCTTGTGCTGTGTGAGTTTCTGCTGGGTTTGCTGTATGATGAGCTGCTGCAGCTGCTGCTGCTGCAGGATCTGAGCCTTCTGTTTCTGCTCTTGTTGTTGTTTAGCCTCAGGACTTGTGTGCAGCTGCACCTGACCCTGCTGCTGCACCTGACCCTGCTGCTGCACCTGACCCTGCTGCTGCACCTGACCCTGCTGCTGCTGTTTGTGTTGCTCAGTCTGGAGCCGCTGGATGTGCTGGAGCCTCAGCAGAGTCTCCTGGGAGCACTGCAGGGCCTGGCTTGGCTTCTTCCCCTGACCCTCCTTGGTTAGACCCTCCATTTCCTCCTCAGGCTCCGCCTCTTCCTTCACCGTCAGCACCATGGGGGGCTGAACGGCCGAGGCCTTTATTACAGACTGGACTTCAACCACGGGGAAGGTTCTGCTCGGCTCGCTGCCTTCCTTCTTCACCACCACCCCAGCAGTCATCTTGCCCTGCTCCAGCTGAGACCTGAGGGTCTCCACCAGCTGCTGCTTCTGCCTCAGCATCTTAGTCAGCTCCTCGATCTGTTTGTCCTTCTCCTGCAGCATCTGGTCTTTGTCCATGAAGTCCATGGAGAGTCCAGACAGGGACTCTGTGGGCTGCACAGATCCTGACGTGGACCTGGCCAGGCTGCAGGAGCTCTGAATCTCCTCTTTAACACCAGAGAAAGGCTGTGAGAGGGGGTGCTGAGGGGAGGGGTGCAGGGTGAGCTGGGTGAGGGGAGAACTCACCTGGACCAAGACAAAATGAGACAAAAACTTTCAGCAAAAAAACAACAACAGGTGTTTATCCCACAAACAAGTCTCACCATCTCCCCAAACATGTCTCCATTACAGCTGGCCTCGTCCGGACTCAGGCCAGCCAGAGAGCGCTCAGACGGCGTGGGGGACACGGGAGGGCTGGAGCTGGTGCTGCCAAACCTCATGAGCCGTCCTGGGATCACCTGAGCCAGTGAGGACAGGGCTAGCTTGAGCCCGCCCTCTGCTGCCAGCTGCTCAGAGCTGGTGCTGGTGCTGGAACCCTGCGGGCCACTCTGACATGGTCCAGTCTTCAGGACCGCTGCGCTGCTGCTGCTCTGTTCCTGGTAGTTACGAAGCCTCTCAATGAGATCATTCTTTGTGCCGGAGACGGTCAAACCACGCAGTTTTAGTTCTTGTTTCAGCTCAGCCACCTGCCAAACAACACCAGGAAGCATGAACTATAAATGACAGGAGCTGGGTTTACATCAACTCTAATATACGCTAGTGTGCTAACTAGTGTGAGTTTTAGCTTCTTTTAACTCTAACAGAGTTTTAGCTTCTTTAACAGCCAGTCAACACTGAGCTTTCATTGTCTCTAGTTATTTATCTGATGTTACAAGCTGAACAGGCTGCATTAAACAGGTTAAAGCTGTCTGATGACAGTACTTTGAACTCATCCAGGTTGGCTGGCAGAGAGGCTGGTTTGGCTTTGCCCACTGCAGTCTGGCTCTGACGGGCAGTGGAGGTCTGACCAGAGGGGGTCGTGGTGGTAGTGGTGTTAGCACTGCGAGATGGGGAGGGGGCAGAGCTGGTGGTGGGAGGCTGCTCAGTTTGTGGCCTGAGAAGACAGAAAAGTTTGATTTTGTTCAGGAACATTGTAATAAAGACTCAATGCAATCAAATGACTCAAAACACACACAACCTCATTTAAAGCTGCTGTTTAAATTCTGACTTCACTAAATCCAGGTCTGAATGGCCTCAATGAGGACTGAAAACACTTTCACACAGTGTGTGAGGTGAGCTTAATGATTGCTCTGAGTGTTTTCACTTCGTGCTGCCACGTGCATCATTCTGAGCTGTAGCTCTGTGATGTAATATAATTATCTAATTAAACACAAAGCTGATGTTACATTCACAGCTGTGGATACGACAGCTGCCAGCTGGTAGATTTTTACCTATTTATTCAAAGTTTATTCATGGTGGAGGGGTTTGTGTGCTGAATGATCCTAGGAGCTAGGGTCTCCCATGGCAGATTGGTCCTAGGTGACAGGCCAGACAAAGAATGATTCAACAGATTCTTATGGACAGAAAAAAAAAAATCAAGGAACTCAGTGTCCCTTACCCGAAAGTGGGTTACCGGAAACCCACCCTGTAGCCAGGCCTGGAGGAGGGGCTCATCGGCGAGCTCCTGGTGGCTGGACTCAGCCCAAATGAGCTACATGGGTTTGGCTTCCTGTGGGCCCACCACCTGCAGGAGGGGCCATACGAGTCAGGTACATGACCCTGGCCTACCAAAACTGGCTCTTGGAACATGGAATTCCACCTTTCTGGTGGGGAAGGAGCCTGAGCTTGTGTGTGAGGTTGAGCGGTACCGGCTAGATATAGTTGGGCTCACCTCAACCCACAGCATGGGCTCTGAAACCGATCTCCTCGAGAGGGGCTGGACTTTATTCTACTCTGGAGTTGCCCATGGTGAGAGGCGCCGAGCTGGTGTGGGTCTACTTTTGGCCCACCGACTTGGTGCCTGTGTGTTGGAGTTTACCACTGTGGATAAGTGGGTAGCTTCCCTGTGCCTTCGGGTGGGGGGATGGGCTCTGATGGTCATTTGTGCTGATGCACCAAATGATTGCTCAGAGTACCCAGCCTTCTTGGGGTCCTTAGCGGGGGTGCTGGAAGGTGCTCCAGCTGGGGAGTCCTTTATTCTGCTGGGGGACTTCAATGACCAAGTGGGTAACGACAGTGTGACCTGGAGATTGGGAGGAACGGCCTCCCCGATCTGAACCCGAGTGGCGTTCTGTTGTTGGTCTTCTGTGCTCGTCACGGATTGTCCATCACGAACACCATGTTCAGGCATAAGGGTGTCCATATGTGCACTTGGCACCAGGACACCCTAGGTCGCAGATCGATGATTGACTTTGTAGTTGTGTCATCTGATCTGCGGCCGCATGTTTTGAACACTCGGGTGAAGAGAGGAGCTGAGCTGCCAACTGATCACCACCTGGTAGTGAGTTGGATCAGATGAAGGTGGAACATGCCAGACAGACCCGGTAGACTCAAGCGTGTAGTGAGGGTTTGCTGGGAATGCCTGGCAGAGGAACCCGTCAGGCAGATCTTAAACCCTAGACCCTAAAACCCTAAACCTAACCTCACAGGTACCTACCTGACCCTAAACTAACCTCACAGGTACCTACCTGA